CACTGTAAAAGCAGTGCTAAGGGGAAGATTCATAGCATTACAGGCCTACCTCAAGAAACAAGAAAAAAGTCAAATAAATAACCTAACTCTACACCTAAAGCAACTAGAGAAGGAAGAAATGAAGAACCCCAGGGTTAGTAGAAGGAAAGAAAACTTAAAAATTAGGGCAGAAATAAATGCAAAAGAAACTAAAGAGACCATAGCAAAAATTAACCAAGCTAAAAGCTGGTTTTTTGAAAAAATAAACAAAATTGACAAACCATTAGCAAGACTTGTTAAGAAACAAAGGGAGAAAAACCAAATTAACAAAATTAGAAATGAAAATGGAGAGATCACAACAGATAACACTGAAATACAAAGGATCATAAGAGACTACTACCAGCAGCTCTATGCCAATAAAATTGGACATAAAAATTTTGGACATAAAAATATGTCCAAAAAATGGACAACTTGGAAGAAATGGACAAGTTCTTAGAGAATTATAACTTTCCAAAACTGAACCAGGAAGAAATAGAAGATCTTAACAAACCCATCACAAGCAAGGAAATTGAAACTGTAATCAGAAATCTTCCAGCAAACAAAAGCCCAGGACCAGATGGCTTCACAGCTGAATTCTACCAAAAATTTAGAGAAGAGCTAACACCTATCTTACTCAAACTCTTCCAGAAAATTGCAGAAGAAGGTAAACTTCCAAACTCATTCTATGAGGCCACCATCACCCTAATTCCAAAACCAGACAAAGATGCCACAAAAAAGAAAGCTACAGGCCAATATCACTGATGAACATAGATGCAAAACTCCTTAACAAAATTCTAGCAAACAGAATCCAGCAACATATTAAAAAAATCATACACCATGACCAAGTGGGCTTTATCCCAGGAATGCAAGGATTCTTTAATATCCACAAATCAGTCAATGTGATACACCACATTAACAAATTGAAAGATAAAAACCATATGATTATCTCAATAGATGCAGAAAAAGCCTTTGACAAAATTCAACATCCATTTATGATTAAAACTCTCCAGAAAGCAGGAATAGAAGGAACATACCTCAGCATAATAAAAGCTATATATGACAAAACCCACAGCAAGCATTACCCTCAATGGGGAAAAATTGAAAGCATTTCCCCTGAAATCAGGAACAAGACAAGGGTGCCCACTCTCACCACTCCTATTCAACATAGTTTTGAAAGTGTTGGCCACAGCAATCAGGGCAGAAAAAGTAGTAAAAGGAATCCAGATAGGAAAAGAAGAAGTGAAACTCTCTCTGTTTGCAGATGACATGATCCTCTACATAGAAAACCCTAAAGACTCTACCAGAAAATTACTAGAGATAATCAACGAATACAGTAAAGTTGCAGGATATAAAATTAACACATAGAAATCTCTTGCATTCCTATACACTAACAATGAGAAAACAGAGAAATTAAGGAAACAATACCATTCACCATTGCAACAAAAAGAATAAAATACTTAGGAGTATATCTACCTAAAGAAACAAAAGACATACATAGAAAACTATAAATCACTGATGAAAGAAATCAAAGAGGAAACAAACAGATGGAGAAATATACTGTGTTCATGGATTGAACTCTCGTTTCTAATCTTTCGCCAGTGAGTATTCTCTTTGCTGTAGTTTCTCTCTCTCTCTTTTTTAGTTTTGGTATATACTCTTTATCAGGATAAAGAAGTTCCCTTCTGTTCCCAGTTTCACCAGAGATATCAGTTGCATGTTTTAATGAATACTCTTTCTGGATATCAGATGATTTGTGTCTTTTGTTTATATGGTGATTTACTAATCTTAAAAACTAACCTTACATTTCAGGAACAAATCCAACATCTTCACTATATAACTCTTAAATAAATTGCTGGATTTGGTTTGCTAATATGGATTGGTCAGAAAGTTCCTTTGGTTTTTAAAAAGTAAAAATAAAGGACACATTTTTCATTTTCACCAAGAGCTTTATTAAACAGTGATTCACCATTTTGTTCCACTAACTTCTGCCATTTTTCAGCAACTTCATAATTCCATCTTCCTAAAACTTTTTACCTTTTAGAACAAAGGATTGTTCCAGGTGCCTTTTTATACCAAGGAATTGAAATTTTTTCTTTAAAAGAAGTTTGTAAAGATCAAAATAAATGGAAATTTGAAGGTGCAATGTCTAGTGAGTATGGTGGATGAATCAGAACTTTTCCCAGCCAAGCTTTAACAGCTTTTGCCTGGTCATCAAAGAAATGTGCAAACTTGCGTTATCCTGATGGAAGACTATATGTTTTCTTTTGGTGAATTCTGGGTGCTTTTCATTGAGTGCTGCTTTCAGTTGATCCAATTGGGAGTAGTCATTGTTGGAATGAATCGTTTGGTGTTCCAGAAGAAGCTCATCCCTTCCAGTCCCACCATGTACACACCATCACCTTTGGATGAAGATCGGCATTTGGTGTGGTTGGTGGTGGTTCATTTTGCTTGCCCCATGATATCTTCCACTTACATTATTATACTCTATCTTCTTTTTATCACCTGTCACAATTTATTCAGAAAACAAAATGTTTTTGTTTTAAGGAGAGAATTGCATTCGGAAATATGATCAAGAAGGTTGATTTTTTTTTCCTTATGTGTAACCCAAACATATTTAATAAAAGCAGTTACTACAGTGCTTTGATTTTCAGTGCTTGAGTTGGATATTTTGAGTATGTCACTTATCTCCCATGTGGAATAAGGTTCATTGTTCTCAATGTCTCAGTTTGATTGCTATCACCGTCAACTGGTCTGCCCAACCATGGAGCATCATCCAGCAAGAAATCTCTACCATGAAACTGTGCAAACCACTTTTGACATATTGATCAGTCACAATACCTTTTCTATATACTTCACAAATCTTCCTTTGCGCTTCAGTTGCATTTTTACCTTGAAATAATAAAGCACATTATTCTGAAAATGTGGCTTTTTTCCCTTCCATCTTCAATATTAAAATGGCTGCACAAAAATTCAGCAGTTTTGGTAAACTTTTTAAAATGCATGCTTATATGACAACTGTTACAATACAGTCCAACAAAATTGTTTTGAGTGAAGTTAAAGACACCTAAGCACTACTAGAGCCATTTTACAGAAAAACCAGACTTTTTGGACAACCCAGTATTTTGTTTTAGGATTTGTGCATTCATGTTCAACCTGAGGTTAATCTTCATCTTGTCATCAAGGCTGTTTTGCCATCCTAAAATGGTTTGGGGAATGTATTTTCAGTTTTTGAGTCTACATTGGTTCTTTTTTATGGTTCTGTTTAAGTTATCAGTAATTTTATTTCCTTGAACATAATAAACCTTGTTTTTTAAAGTTTTATGTTTGATAACTGTATTATGGGGATCTTCTTTTTTGGATGTATTTTTGTAGTCTGTTTATCTTGGTGTTCAATCACGCATTCAGCACTCTTAATATGTCTCGTCATTTTTGAGCACTGAACAGTATGATTTGGCACACATGCAAAGAAATCATCAGTAAAGTTTATAATGGGCTTCACAGAATGAACAGTGGAGGCCAGAAGACAATTGAGTATTTTTTAATTTATAAATTTTTATATATGCACAAGTAATTCTGGAGTAATATTTTAAATTCTTACTAGCTATAGTTCTGTTGAAATCTCAGTTTTTCAGTCTCTGTATCTCTTCTAGGATTGGTAAATGCCCAAATAACCAACATACCCAAATGCCAGATTCAGCTCTCTAGGATTTCTTCATTTTAAGATCTTGGACTTACAGTTCCTCTCTTCATTTATATCTCTGCAGTGCTTTCAAGCAGGTGTTTGATGTGTTCCATATTTTCCTTAGTCTGTCATTAAGAACTTGAACTCTTCCTGTATTATTTTTTTAGTTGGCTGCACAGTGCTGCTTGCAGAATTGAACCCAGGGCCCCCGCAGTGAAAATGCTGAGTCCTCATCACTAGACCACCAGAGAGTTCCTAGCATTCTTTTTCTTAATAGTTTCCAGTTTTATGTTGAAATTTGTAATTTGATCTCATCAGATAATAAGCATGATGATTTAAAATCTGTGTCCAGAAACTTCAGCTTCTGGACTCAGTTTTGTCTTTCAACTTTGTCTTGGTTCTCACTCTTTTGTGTGTGTGTATCTGGTTTATTCATATAGATTATCTGGAAAAAAATGAGTTAAGGTAATTTGAGGTTGATGGTTCTCTTGTAGAAAGGATTTATGATTGCTTTTTCTAGACACCTGGGGTCACACAAACCAGGCCCCCAAAGCTGTCTGAAACACACTTCTTAGCCAGTAAACTTCCTCTTAAGGAATTAGCAAATGACTCCAGGATAGAGCTCCAGGCAGAGCCCTGGTGGGCTGCCGTATCTCAGGTCACACAGAGTCCAACACGACTGAAGCGACTTAGCAGCAGCAGCAGCCAGGGTAAAAACTGCCTCCAGAGTTAGGCTGACCTCTCTGACTTCTTTGCATTTTGATCACCTCTCTCTGCATTTGATTACCTCTGTGGCTTTTTTTGCTTTTGACCTGATAATTCCTTTCTACTATAGCTGTTTTCGATATCCTAAATTTTTGTAGGAAGTTTGTGTTACTTGGTCTGTATTTTACTGGAAGAGGAAATATCATTTTACAACCTTCTAAAAACCAATCATTACTATCAAGGTCTCCAGCCTTTTTAATAAAACAGTTCATGAAAGGTGACATAGAAATGGTGAAAACACTGCTACTTTAACTTAACAAGCCTGGGATTGAGTCCTGACTCCACTGTTCACCAGCTGTTAACATTGTTAATTTATGTGATTCTCCGTTCTCTCTTCTCTAGTATGTATGTATGTTACCTATTTTATAACATTATGGGATAAAATGTGTAAAGTACCTGACCATTACCAGGCTTGGTACAAGTACTTAAATACAAGTCACCCACTACTCCTTCCTATACTCACCCTTCTGTACCTAATCCATAATATTTGTCTTGGTCAAATTTTAACTCCTACCTACTTTTTTACTTCCTTCAGGTGATTCTAGTCACAAGATTCCTATTTCACACTTTGAATCTGGGCATGACCAAGCAACTGTGTTACAAAATCTTTATAGATTCATTCATCCAAACCCAGGGAACTGGCCACCTATCTACTGCAAGGTAATTTCAACATAAGAATTTCTTTTAAGTCATCTACTTAGAAAACAGAAGATCCATGAAAGATACCCAAAGAAAGAACTTTAGCCTGTGTATTAACTGTGTGTTAAAATATGTTCATTTTTAGTTGCTTTGAATGTAATTAGGTACATATAGTGCCTTTTCTTCTACATTTCTCTAATATTGGAGGGATTTTGAAGACTGAAGTAACTGAATGTATTTCACCTTTGGTGGATTTCATGTTTATGGTTCCTCCTGTGAAATACCTTCAATGTCTGTTTACCCTGGAGGGTGGGTTTCTAGTTTGTACACCTATCACTTCAAGGCAAGAGTACCGTTTATTCAGAACTGTTTTTTGTAGTAATTCCTTGATCTTCTTTTTGTAATCTTTATTCTTTGTTTTGTCTAAATTCTTTCAGGCTCGGTGTAGTAGAATTGGGTTTTAACCTTACTGTTTTATTAATTAAACAGTAAAAATAGAACATTTCTCACCACGAACACAAATCACCTTATCTTTTTCTGAACATTTGTTTCATTTGCCTACCCTTAGTCTCACTTGCTGTTCATAAAGTATATTAACAATGCTTTATGAACGTAACTGGTTGTTATTAGCAGTATTTTCTAGTATATGTTGCTCTTTTTTTTTTTTTCAACAGTTCTCATTTAGTTTTCACCAACTCTTAAGCGTTTCCCTTCCCCTTACCCCTCCTCCCTGCCACAGTTTGAAAGGGCCTTATTAATTGAAAGTAACAGAGGATAGAAGAAAATACAAGTAAAATTTTTCCCTTCTCTAGTCTGATGATAGAGCCAGAGTCAACTGGTGTTTGAAGCACATGGCAAAGTCATCAGGTGAGTTTAGTATCGGTTTTTTTCCATTTTGGTGTACATGTTCCGTGTGCTTGAATTCACTAATTCTGTGTTTGTTTTTATTTACCCATGGAAGAAATCAGACAGGAGCTGGAGCTGCTCGCTGTAGAGGATCTTGTGGTAGGGATCTACCAGCAAAAGTTCCTGAAGGAGCCTTCTAAGACCTGGGTTCGCAGCCTCCTAGAGGTGGCCATGTGGGATTACTCGAGCAGCACCAGGTGCGTGCGTGATTCTGTGACCGTGATGCTGGCTTTCTTCTGAACTGAGAAATACAGTAGGGTCAGTTTGTTCCTTTTAAAGCAAGATTTTCCTGTGAAACTTTGAAATCATTGTATTTCCTTGAATATAAGTTTTCACTGATTATAAGATACATTGTTAGTTTATCACTAAAAGCAAAAAACAAACTACCAAATAAAACGACAGTGTTTTATCATTTAGAGTGTCTGTATTGATGAAAGTATATTGTATCCATTTAAATAAATACTGTATTACATAGAATTCTTATAAGAAATATAAAAATGAAATGAAAAGTATTTTTTATTTTTGATATTTCAGGCTTACAGAAAATTTGGAATACTCTAGTACAAGGAAATTGTATATACCATTCTCAGATTCTAATTGTTAATATTTTAATATATTTATAAAACTAAACACTGTTTCTTTTTCTCAGCCACTTAAGAGTAAGTTGCTGTCATGATGTCTTTTCACCCTGAATATCAGGAATGTTCCTAACAACAGGAACATGTGTATTGCCACAGTACAGTTATCAAAACAGTATATTGCCATTGCTACAGTACTACTGTCTAATCATATTAGTTCTAATCATATTTTGCTACTTCTAATAATGTCTTCTGTAGCAAAAAATAAACACCTAGGGTCCAACCCAGAATGACATGTTATATTTAATTATGTCTCTTTCAGTTGAGTTCACTTCAGTCGCTCAGTCATGTCCGACTCTTTGTGACCCCATGAATCGCAGCATGCTAGGCCTCCCTGTCCATCACCAACTCCTGGAGTTTACTCAAACTCATGTCCATCGAGTCAGTGATGCCATCCAACTATCTCATCCTCTGTCGTCCCCTTCTCCTCATGCCCCCAATCCCTCCCAGCATCAGGGTCTTTTCCAGTGAGTCAGCTCTTTGCATGAGGTGGCCAAAGTACTGGAGTTTCAGCTTCAGCATCAGTCCTTCCAATGAACACCCAGGACTGATCTCCTCTAGGATGGACTGGTTGGAGCTCCTTGCAGTCCAAGGGACTCTCAAGAGTCTTCTCCACACACAGTTCAAAAGCATCAATTTTTCCGCACTCAGCTTTCTTCACAGTCCAACTCTCACATCCATACATAACCACTGGAAAAACCATAGCCTTGACTAGACGGACCTTTGTTGGCAAAGTAATGTCTCTGCTTTTTAACATGCTATCTAGGTTGGTCATAACTTTCCTTCCAAGGAGTAAGCGTCTTTTAATTTCATGGCTGCAATCACTGTCTGCAGAGATTTTGGAGTCCAAAAAAATGAAGTCTGACTCTGTTTCCACTGTTTCCCCATCTATTTCCCATGAAGTGATGGGACCAGATGCCATGATCTTAGTTTTCTGAATGTTGAGCTTTAAGCCAACTTTTTCACTCTCCTCTTTCACTTTCATCAAGTGGCTCTTAAGTTCCTCTTCACTTTGTGCCATAAGGGTGGTGTCATCTGCATATCTGAGGTTATTGATTTTCTCCCGGCAATCTTGATTCCAGCTTGTGCTTCTTCCAGCCCAGAGTTTCTCATGATGTACTCTTCGTATAAGTTAAATATGCAGGGTGACAATATACAGCCTTAACATACTCCTTTTCCTATTTGGAACCAGTCTGTTGTTCCATGTCCAGTTCTAACTGTGGGTTCCTGACCTGCATACAGGTTTCTCAAGAGGCAGGTCAGGTGATCTGGTATTCCCATCTCTTTCAGAATTTTCCACAGTTTATTGTGATCCACAGTCAAAGGCTTTGGCGTAGTCAATGAAGCAGAAATAGATGTTTTCCTGGAACGCTTGCTTTTTCGATGATCCAGCGGATGTCGGCAATTTGATCTCTCGTTTAGGATCCTTTTAACCTGGAATTATTCATTAATCTTTGACTTTGGTGGTCTTGATCTTTTTGAAGAGTGCAGGCCAGTTACTTTGTAAAATTTTTCTGTTTGAATTTGCCTATATTTCCTCATGGTTAGATTGAGGTTGTGTGTGTGTATGTATGTAATTTATTTATTAATTCAAGGATAATTGCTTTACAGTATTGTGTTGGTTTCTGCCAAACATCAACATGAATCAACTGTATATGTGTATATATATTTATACATCCCCTCCCTCTTGGACCTCCCTCCCACCTCTCTCCCCATTCTGCCCACCTAAGTTGTTACAGAGCCTCAGTTTGAGTTCCCTGAGCCATACGGCAAATTCCCATCGGCTATCTATTTTATATACAGTGACGTGTATTTCCATGTTACTCTCTTTATATATCCCACTCGCACCTTCCTCCCCTTCTTCCATGTCCATAAGTCTGTTCTCTGTGTCTTTCTTCATTGCTTCCCTGCAAATAATTTCATCGTTATGAGGTGGTATACTTTTAGCAAGAGCACCTCAAAAGTGATGTCTCTTCTCAGGTGTGTCAGATCCGGAGGCATCTGATTTTAATCTCATTACGGATAACTTTGATCACTTGCTTAAGAGAATGTCTGCTGAATTTTTCCATTGAAAAGTTACTCTTTTTCACCGTACAATTAATATTCTGTTGGGAGAGTCTTTGAAATTTGGTAGATTATCTGTTCTTCAATCTTTTAATCTGCTTGCTTTAACATCCATTGATGATTTTTGCCTGAGTCAGTTATGACTATATTTGTGAAATGGTGATGGTCTAATTTGATTGTTGTTTCTACATTTACTAGTTAGCATTCTACTGTAAGGAGCTTTTCCTTTTTGCTGACTTTTTTTTTTCATTTATGACTATGGACTTACATATTCCTAGTATCTTATTCAGTGAGCTGAAATGTCTTACTAACTTATTTTTTGCTCAGATTGGTTTCTTTATGGACAGTGCTTTCTGTGTTGTTTGCTTGGAGTTTGGGTTTTGTTGTCAGATCTTACAGTGCTGCCTGGTTCTTGGAGTGTTTCTCTGCTTTTCCAAATGTTCCAGGTTCCTCTTGTACTTCCCTGCTCTGGCTTTAAATTAGCCATTTATCCAAGGAACCCTAGTTCTGTTTAATGAAGGAGAGTGTTTAGGAGATAGAATCTGGGTGCTAGGTGTTCATTCCTACTAGAGCATCTTTGGTTCTAGTTCCTCTTAGTGGGGAGAGCGAGGAAATATGTATGTGTGTACTACCCTTCATACTCATTTTTATGTGGCTAGACTCACCTGCCCACTCCTTCCTCCCTTTCCTCCTCCCTCTCTGTCTTCATCTCATCATGAGTTCATACCTAAACCTGCAACTGCCATTTAAAACCATAGAGTTTTCTAGTTTTCTATTTTTGTATTGCCTTTCTGCATGTGCTCAACAATTTTGTTGGTTCAGTCCTAGAATGTATTAAGTTGTTGTAAAATTAAGTGATAAGCCACCATTTTAAAAAGGCATATTAACAGTTCAGAATCTTTTTCTCAGTTTTGTTTGTTAGAGGTTAGTAAAAAAGTTATTGGTGAGGGACTGGTGGTCCAGTGGTTAAGACTTCATGCTTCCACTACAAGGGGCACAGGGTTTGATTTCTGGTCAGGAAGCTAAGATCCCTCATGCTACAGGATATGGCCCCCCCCCAAAAAAATTATTGGAATTTGTTCTTTTTTCTTCTCCTTAACTGTGGTTAAATTACTCATATGAAATAGTTTATTTGCTTGCTTTATTCCAGTTTGTTTTTGCCCATATCTGTTGGTTCTGTTACATTTTAAATGTGCAGTACATTAATACAGTTCAAACAAAACAGTTCAGTCTAGTTCTATAAAATTTCTTGAAAGTGTTAGTCACTCAGTAATGTCTGGCTCTTTGTGACTCTGGGGACTGCAGCCCACCAGGCTCCTCTGTCTTTGGGATTCTTCAGGCAAGAATGCTGGAGAGGGTAGCCATTCCCTTCTCCAGGGGATCTTCCTGACCCAGGGATCAAACCTGGGTCTCCTGCATTGCAGGCAGATTCTTTACATTCTAAGCCACCAGGGAAGTTCTGTCAAGTTCCTTGGATTGCATTAAATTTATAAACTAACTTGAGAACTGAAACCTTTACATATGAATTCTGTGCAAGGACAGGAGATGTCTTTTCATTGTTCAGATCTACGTTTGGGTCTTTCAAATTTGTTTTAAAATTTTTCTCACGTTGATTGTGCCTATCTGAGATTGCTGAGTTTTTGTGGGGTAGTGCCATGATAACTTTGTTTATTCTATGAAAGTTGACTTGATTAGACTTTCTGACTTTAATTGGATCAGTTTTGGTAATCTGTACTTCCTTAAGAAATGATTCATTTTATATAGGTTTCCAAACTTATTTAACTCTGCACACTAAGTCTCTTATAAATTTAAAATTCCTTGTTTCATTGGTTTCTTATATATTTGTGCTTCTGCTTTCCCCTCCTAAATCACACCTCGTGCATTGTCTATTTTTTTTTAAAACGGCAGGATTTCAGTTTATTAGATCTACTAATTTTTTGTTCTCTTCCTCATTCATTTCTGTTTTTGTATTCTTGGTACTTTGTGACTCTTTGTTTAGATTTGTGGACTCAGTGTTTAGTTAACTTTTTTATTTTTTTTTAATTGATAAGTGTTTAGTAGAGTGAATTTTCTCAGATACGGCTTACAGTGCATCCCATAAGTTGTTGACATAGCATTTTGTCATTTTTTTTAAAAAAATTCTGTAGTTCCAACTCTCTTTAACCCAAGAGTTAATATGAGGCTTTAAAATGTCCAGATGGAAAGAAAGTCTTTCTGGTTTTTTGTTAGTAAATTCTAGTGTCTTTGCATTTTGTTCAAAGTATTATTTATAACATTTCTACCTTATGAAAGTTACCAGTGTTTTGCAAATTAAAATAATCAATATTTGGACTGTTTTGTGGATATATGAGAACAATATGTATTTTGTCAGGGTGCAGCTTTTGACAGGTATCCACAAGCTCTACATTATTATGTCGTTTAAGCTGCATTATCTTCTTATGTTTTTTGTCTGCTTGATCTATTTTATATTGAAAATGTGGTCTCATTTCTATTTA